TTTGTAATTATAGCAGAACGAGCCACTATTCGGTGGTGCCTACAATTAAAAAGAATACAAAAATGTCAGATTTATTAAAAATGTATGAAAAATGATAGTATCAGATATGTACCTGAATAATAATATGCTTCCCATCTATAGATCCAATGCAGTTTGGAAATTGACAGATTTCCTCAAATTTATCAGCAACTTTTTGCCAATTTTCAGCGGTGGGTTGCAGAAAAACTTTATCCTTCAAGATCTCCCACAATGCAGCACAAGTTTCCCTTACGATTTTGGATGCTGTATTAGGTGCAATACGAAATGCATATGAATGAGATGCTAAACTGTCATCAGATGCTAACCAACGCAAAGTCAACTGCAATCTTGTACGAGGTGAAATTGGGATTCGACAAACTTCTTCTTTCTGAATCCGTGGTCTAACTAACGTTAGCAATTCTTCAAATAATTCCGGAGTCATTCTGAAATAATTGAAGAACTTATCACGATCAGTCCTTTGCATCTCAACAACTAAATTGAGCGCATTCAGTAGAAAAAGCGCTCAGTGAGCAATCAACGATTATTGGTTCTTGCTATTAGATCCCTAAATCTAGACCAATTACATTGGCCGCGTTCAGTAGAACAAGTGATCAGTAAGCGCTCAGTGAGCTCTTGCATCTGATTGGAGTATAGTTGGAGATCTAAAAGAATATGCCAAATCATATACAAGAGCTCCCTGAGCGCTTACTGATCACTTGTTCTACTGAACGCGGCCATTGACAAATTACCCAACTGTTGTGCAACTGTTGAGTCTGCTGAATGCAGCCATTGTCACTTGCACCTTGTAAATGTCTCATTTCGTGCGTAAACATTGGCCGTACCCAGAATTTCCGTTTCATTTTTCTGATTTTGCAATAAAACAATGTAACCTAAATACAGCTTTCGTATTCTCTTCAACACCGACACAGCACGCCAAGTTGGCAAATTGTTCACCATTCGCAGTATTTTTAACATGACTAAAAAAACTGTTTTTTCCTCCATCGATGTGTTTCAAGATATTATTTTCAGCTACGTTACAATTTTTCTTCTTTTCCAATCTATGGGCCTCACTGAGTAACGCCTCCAAGCCAGAATCCAGATATAGAAGAATGTTTATAGATTTAGCTAAAAACGCCAACAGTTCGCCAAAAATAACTCGGTTCCAACAGGCATTTCCACGTTAAAATTGTTAAATGATATTAAATATTGTTTACGTTTCTTTCATACTTTCCTTCTCAATTCAACTACGCACATCCGTTCCGTTCCGTAAAAGTTTCCTCTACCAGTCCCATGTAGCAAAAACGGAACGGAATGGCGCGTCGGTCGCAAATAAATATGATTAATTCGTCAATATTTCGTTATTTTGACACGACAGAATTAATTATATACATAATTTATGCAATTATCTTGCCGATAACATTGTCATGAATATTCTGAAATATTTAATTGAAGAGTGAAATATATTTTATAACTAGAAATCCGTTCCGTTTTTGCTACATGGGACTGGTAGAGGAAACTTTTACGGAACGAAACTAGAGAACGGAACGCTCATTATAGTAAGAAATCCGATCCGGCGTTCCGATCCGTGCTCAATGGGACGGCACCCTTACTGTCAAGTGCACGATATAAACCAAGCCATAATCCATAAAAAAAGAGGAGATAGCGTTGGCAACGTTCAAAAGTTCCTAGGATCCATAAATTCAAGGTTAATATTGTAACGTCCGGATCTATTTTAGAACATTAATAATACATTATTATAGACCGGGAGGCCGACTTGTCTAATTTCAGACATCACTAGATATTTTATCCCTATGTTACTAGATGTAAGTACGTGCGCATATGCATATTCGCGAGCGTTAAAACATTATAATTAAAATGCCGAATGCTGCGTGCTGCTGGAGAGTCTCGAAATCGACGGATCGACCCAAAAAAACCGCTATCGCTCAGTGCGATAAGCCAACATAAACAGGAGCATGAAAACTGAATCCCAAACACCACTCAGGACACCGGACGCGGTGACATCATGCAAAGGAATGAATCTCTTCCCTCGCCATAACTCCATGGACCAATCGGAGAACGACTCTCAGCGACAAAGCGACATATAAAAGCGCGCGCATTTGTAGAGAAGGCAATAAATATATAATTATTTTCTTCTCATAGTTAGTCTCTGGTAGCTTCATGTACTTATTCAGCATATTATACTTAGTCGTAAAATCCGACTGTGTTGCAATTACTTTTGCCTACCCTTCATATTTCAAACGTTGCGAAATCAAATTCTGAATCACGGGCCGCATCAACCCGCGTGGTATCGGAACATCCGAGGCCGAGCCAGGAGAACAAGCACCGCTGATTTTTCGCCAGATTCATCAATCGTTTCGCCAGGCTCCCGAGACCCAGGGTAAACTCGGTGAAAAGCAGAGTGACCCAAAAGCGGAGCCATCACTCTGTTGACCGTCCACGTAAGTCACTGATTTCACTACTTTCAAATTTCCCTATATAGTTATCTATCGTGGACGTAACAATATCATTGTTGAACGGAAGAGTGTACAACAGAGGTGTAGAGTTGTGACAAATTATATGTCACGGTGTCAAAAGTAAACATAGCGGAAGTGAATGACAAGTTATGGAGACAGAGGTTAACACCAAATTTTGTGAATTGGTAATTTCCTCGGATTATTTTATGGAAGAAGAAGAAGAAGAAGAAGAAGGTTAGTACCAAATGTTAAAAGTCGTAAATTTTAGATAACGTTTACATCGAGTTCATTAGCGTGAAAATAAACAGTGTGACTAACTTCATTGTAAGTCGCATTATATATAAATTAATGTTTAATGCGCAAAATCGTATATTATCAAGTGCTAAATTTAAAATAACAGCGAAGTGGATTTAATCTAATTGCATGTAATATATTGCATTTCAGGAGAGAAAAGTGACTGATACTCAAGAGCAGTCTGTGTACATATGTATTTGGAGCAACGATGAAGTTGAGTCATAGTCTGACTTTCAACGAGGATGCTCTTAATGAAGTTCACACGAGTCTAAATGAGCAATTTTAATCTGCAAGTGATCATGCTTCTAGACAAAGTTCTGGTCGATGCTCAAAAGGTATAGATACCACAGTTTGACATTTGCAAATACAGAAAATTTGTAATCACAAATCTTATATGCTGTATAGTTTTATTGACTAAAATAATTATGCTAAATGTGTGTATTTGCAGAACGATATTAAAGAACGCCAACAGAAGATAACAAAAGAAGGAACAGCTGACCAGACATATGCAAAGTTCTATGGTTCATCCATAGAACATCTGATGACATCCATGACGATTAACACATTTTAACGATAATAATAATTTGATCAAGTTGCATTCCACCTCACTGTCTGCCTTGTTGCGTTTAATAATTCTTAGCCTTTCCACCTTATGCACTAACGTCTGAAATTAAGGACCAACATAATAAAATAATTTGCTTTTAACAGTAACATATGTCTAATAGTAACATTTTTTATCACCCGACTGTAATGGAAAAAATAACCAATCACTTCGATTTCCGGGAAAATAATTTTTATTGCTTTTCGTTCTACTTTCTCTAAATTCAATATTGCCATTTTGGGCTGTAAAACGTAATATGTCACGTAATATGTAATATAATATGTCAAACACTTTGGTCAAAACGTTGACATAATTTTTAATTTTTCTACCTGTTATTATGGCAAAAACGATTGAGACAGACTGAGATTGGGAGAAAGTTAATTTATAATATTATATAATATCAAATATCTATGGAATTAAAGAAAATAGAAAAATTGTCATATTTACTCTCTTATTATGTCGAACTAATATTGTTCACAGTTGCGAATTGTGCTCCTCAATTTTAAGCACTGTGGCAAGTGCACTGTCGAAAAAAATTGTAGAAAATGACGTTTTATTTATATTCTGTATTAAAATCTTATCAATAAATATTACGGCCTGTTTTATTATCATGATTTATTGATTCTACTAACAAAATATCCGTATCATTGATTCTAAATCACATTTTCCATTCCACCTTTTCACTACATTGTAATTCGTTCAATTTCTTAGGATTCTTCCAATATTGTTATTCTTATGACGCCATATGGATTTCTCAATATTACCAATAGATGTTATATGCAGCAATTCCTCGTATCTAATTTTTACCGTTTTATTAATATAAATTTTCTTAAGATTTCATTCTACATTGTAAATATAAAAATATATCACAAAATGTTTAAATATCCTCTTGACAAATCATAAATGATTGTACTCTTCTATCAGAATAAAGTAATTATAGGGTGGGACCCGATTGATCACAATACGATTGGACACAGATTGTAATGATTGGTTCGACCTAGTAATTCACTAGATAATTCTTTTCATCGGTTGGTTGTGTTCAATCGTACCGTGGTCAATCGGGACGCTCCCGTAATTATATAATAATGTTGAAGCTCAATCTACTCAGACAAAATGCAAAGAGAATCTTAACACAAATGGGATATTCGTAATCAGATTACGAATATCTTCTAATTGTAATATATTTGTATATGTATATAATAATTAATCAATTCATATCTCACTGTGTAATATATTCTCTTTTTAATCGTTGCAGTTGACTCATAGTGTGTTGACTGTAGAATTGCTTCTTTTAATAATTCTGTGTTACGCAATAAAAAATTTGTCATACATAATTATGTAGAATCATATAAAATTATATGTAATTTTAGATTATTATATATAATTATGTATGAAATTTGTCCATATATGTTAATACATATTACTTATATATATATATATATATATATATAAAATTATATGTATAATTACATATAATTGTATGCATAATTATGTAAAATTATGTATGAAATTATAGATATAATTATACATAATTATATATATATATATATATATATATAAAATTATATGTATAATTACATATAATTGTATGCATAATTATGTAAAATTATGTATGAAATTATAGATATAATTATACATAATTATATATATATATATATATATAATTATGTATAATCATTAGTATGTGTTTATTAAACCCTTACGGGATACATAGCGGACTCCCGCTCCGCTTACAACAAAAAGACAAAAATAAAAAAACGCAAGCTATTCCACACAAAAAACGCACCAGAAAACGCATGATACGCCTGAGAAAGAGAGAAATCACAACATTCAATCATCCAATCATCCATCTTCACTCATCTCTGGACCTCCGCTTCCGCTGCACTTTCCATTTCCTCACCCGAACTCTCATCCATTTCCAGCCATCCACCTCCCTCCCTTATCTCCTCTAATCTTCTCATCCACACCTCACCTTCTCCTTCTTCTCCCAGTACCTCACCTATCATCTCTCGCCACCCCTTTTCCACCCCCCAGTTTGTACATTCCTCCCATATGTGCTCCCAAGTTTCCTCTCTTTCTCCACACATCCTACACTTTCTTTCCTCCTCCCCTTCCCAATATCTACCCCCTCTCATGCCTTCACCCAGCCTAAACTTAGCCACCCTCTGCCATTTCTTCTCCTTCCACCCCCTCCTCAGATACCCAGGCACCCCCTTTCCCTTCACTTCACAGTACCACCTAATATAATTATGTATAATTATATCTATAATTTCATACATAATTTTACATAATTATGCATACAATTATATGTAATTATACATATGTTATATACATATGATATGTTATATACATATGATATAATTATTATATGTAATTATACATATAATTATACATAACTGTGTACCCAACGAGAAAGGTTACGTCGATTCGACGTATACTAGACGTTTGTATGAAACGTCTATCTACTATCTACGTCTAATCTAGATTAAGATCTATATCGACCTAAAAACGGTCCACATTTAGATGTCTAATAGACCGTCATTTCAACGTTGATTCAACGTTTTTTCGATGTCGATTAATAAGTCATTTCTCACTAGATTGTTTCATAAAAATAACTAATTCCTAATTTTCTTTATGTCTTATAAACTTCTAGAAACCGAAGATTGTCAAACACACGTTAAAACTTTCACGAATCCTGCCTCGATAATTTCGAATTCGAAGTGGTCACCCATCCATCCTGACTACGTTGCTTATTAACCTGACGATCGAGCGGCACGCGGTGTTCCAATGACTCCAATGATGTTCTTACAATTTATGTTTAAAAAATGTATACTTACAGTATTAACAGTAGGGTGTATATCAGTTGGACACGGGGCAATTGGACACAGTCCAATCACAAGTCGCTATTCCAAGGGACCCTACAAATGTCTCTAATCACACGGTGCTGTGATTGGCTGTGTCCAAATGCACCGTGTCCAAGTGCACCGCTCCCTTCACAGTATATTATAACGTACCTAGCAAATACACGCGTTGATTCGCCTATTTTATTTAATATCTCTAAAGTTTATGTAGTTATTTGCAAAATGACTTTGATCATTCCTTCCAGTTTAATGTTTTTCGAGTAATCTGACATTCCTATCTTTGTAATACTATATGTGAATCGGAAATATAAAAAAAAAACTGACGTTTCCACTTAGAATAAATTTTTTATGCAAAACGCGCGCGATCTCACCCTGTCTGCACAGACGTGCCAAGAATGTTACAAGCACGTCGTTATTACGTCATAATGACGTGCTCGCTACGTCTGGTGCTGTCAGGGTCAGTGAGAAGTGACTTATTGATCGACGTCGAAAAGACGTCAAATCGACGTTGAAATCGTCAAATAGACGTCGATTCGACGTCTTTTCGACATCAATCGATAAGTCATTTCTCACTGGGATATTAGACGTCGATTCAATATCGAATAGACGTCTAGAGAGATTGTAAATAATCGACAAAATAAAATTCCGAAATTTTACCGAAAACTCTCTTTTAATGGTCAATATATTATGAATGGATTCTAAAACATTCGAATTTACTCAAAATAGAAGACGTTCAAATTGCCATTTTTCTAGACATACATTTATGGCTCCTGCACACAGGACGCGGTAATGCTTGCCGCGCGGCAGAAGTTTGCGCGACAGCCAATCAATATGTTGTTTTTCCGTAAGAGCTAGAAGGTTATTACGGAAAGCAGCATATTGATTGGCTGTCGCGCGAACTACCGTCGCGTCCTGTGTGCAGGAGTCATTAGACTAGACGTAACTTAGACTTCTCCGACATCGGTTAGACGTCGAATCGACGTCTACGTTCTCGCTGGGTATAATTATATATAATTTTATATGATTATATATAATTATACATAATTATGTATGGACAAATTTTACATATAATTATGCATGAAAAATTTTTTATCAGGTAGGTTTTTAATAATCAATTATTTTTTATTTTTAATCTTGCCTTGCATTTTATAACATTATGTTTGCGGAAGCTGCATTCATAATATCTGCCAGACAATAATATGTTAAACAGATTAAAAATGTCTTTTAAAAAGTCTTCCTATATTGTTTCATAGAGGTCGTGATTACTTTGCAATATACTTGTTATGTTACATGTTATTTATGTTATCTAATATATTCAGTATTTGCTGAAAATTGTGGGTAGTTATATCTACTTACACTTTATCCTTGTACGAGCTATTATAATGATAGGTGTATCCTTCGTATTAAATTTATTGTATATGTAATCTGGGTGAGATAACTATTTTTTTCTTTTCTGTCATTGCGTAAATGCGTGTCCAATATTTGTAAAAATAATAAAATTTTAGATACTCGAGACAATGAGCAATTGTTGCATGCATCGTCTAAAGTAAAACAATTGCCAATTAATTTTTCGAAATTCATTTGGCGCGAAATTCGCGCGAAACGCATGCAAATTTGAATATCGCGCGCATCTCACACTGAAATAATACCTAAAAAAAAATTACATGTGATATAACAAGTATATTGCAAAGTAATCGCGAGCGCTATGAAACAATATAGATAGACTGTCTAGGTATAGCTTTCGGAATCTAGTAATATAGATAGACTTTTTTAAAGACATCTAATTAAAGTAATCTGTTTAATATTATAGCGAACGTTATGTATTATTGACTGGCAGATATTATGAATGCATATTCCGCAAAAATAATATTACAAAATATAAGGTAAGACTTAAAATAAATAATAATTGTTACACGACAACTGGTGATCATGGGGATCATGAAAAACCGAAAATGGAGTTATCCATTAAGAAAAGCAATTCAACAGTCAATACCCAATGAGACAACTGCAACAATTAAAAAGAGGATTACACAGTAAGAAATGAATTGATTAATATTATGTACATATACAAATGTATTACAATTAGAAGATATTCGTAACCTGATAACGAATATCCCAATTGTGTAAAGATTCTCTTTACATTTTGTCTGAGTAAATTGAGCTTCAGCGCGCATTATTACTTATATAATTAATTTATTCTGATAGAAGAATACATTTATTTATATTTTGCTAAGAGGAAATTTAAGCAT